CTCCACAATGATCTGAGAGACTGATAAAGTCATACAGACAACAACTACTTAAAAAGATTCCTGCTAATAGTGGTTCTACACACTACTGAATCATGGAGTGCACTCGGTACTTCACAAAATTGTATAGATTCTATGATAAATCTCTTTCACAAATACTTCCTTTTTTTAAAATATGCACAACAATTTTGAATAATGTCACCAAACCGAAATAAAAATCTGTTGTGCTGTTGAAGTTCAAATTTTTTCATCCAGTTATATATTTATCATTTTCCTTTTTAATTTTTGTGATTAATAGTGTGGCGTAAAACATTTCTGTATACATTTATTAAACGTCAGACTTAAAAGAAACTGATTAAAGGAGAGATTTCACCTCTGCTTTAGAAGTGATTTATAGCAGACTATTGCCAGAGGGAAAAACACGAGGTTCTGACTGAGGAAGCCTTTTGTGCAGCATGTGCTGGCAAATCCTTACATCTCTGTAAATTAATTTAGTTAAGAGGACTGATTTAAGGTTTCCAACCACACCCCGCAGCTGCATACACATTCCACGTCTTTGAAACCCGAACCATACTTCTAATCTTAGTCATATCCGTCTATTGCATATCAGGCATTTGCCTGGAAGTGATTCTTGGAGACAGTGCATGTGCTCCCTGGGCTAAAAACTCCATCTTCCTTGAATCCTTCCAAATGTGTTTTGGAACACACACACAAACACATAAGCACCACAGTTCATTTCCTCTGTTAATATAATTTTGTGTGCATGTATGCAGCCTTGGAGGCTTCACTTTTGTCAGTTTGTGTTGCACAGTACACTGGCCAGAGGCCTGCAGGGGTCTGGCACAGCTCCACGCCTTCATTTGCTGAGGAGATTTACGTTATGCAAAATAAGGGCATGGTTCTAGAGACAACAGGGAGAATGAGCCAAACAATGTTCTGTTCCTGAGAGAACTGTATATACAGTATTTTACCTCCTAACAATCACAGCCTCACTGTCAGTAAAGCTTTTAGTCCTAAACATATTAGTAATAGCAGCTTACACAAGCATAAAGTAGAATAAAACCAGAGGTGCATTAAATCGTGATTCTGTAGGTTTACATGCCAAAATCCTTTAATTTATGCTGTGGCTGTGGAATTACTTGTTCTTTGCTACTCTCCACTCATGAGGTGTACAGTGGCTAATGCTGTCGTAAGTTTTCACCTACAGAAAGAATAATAAAGGTGTGATTTTAGGTGGGAGACATTGACAAAGTGCTAGAGCTCTGCAGACTGTGGCGATAGAAATTGACTCTTGGCAGGTAGGATGAAGTCTCTGTGGGAGAAGAAGCCTAAGCTGGTGAAGAGGTTCCTATAGCAGGGCTCAGATGAACATGCAGTATCAGCTTTAAAACAAAAGGCCCTGATTCAAACTAATAATGCACTCCTTCTACTCCCAAGGTAGTGAAAAGTGCTGCAGTAGATTTGGGGACAAGAGGGCTACAGATCACTGCATAGAATAGCT